TTTTAGGACCGCTTTTTCTAGTTCTGTGAAGAATGTCATTGCTATATTTTTTATCATATTAGAGGTTATCTTTTTAATTTCATTATTAATTTGTTCTAATTAGTCATATATGACAGTAGAATGCATTTTGACATATTTATCATTGTTATTTTGATGGGGATTGTATTGAATCTGTATATTGCTCTTGGTTGAATCACCATTTTAACAATACTAATTCAACCTATCCATGAATATGGGAGGTCTTTCCATCTACTTGTGTCTTTTTCAGTGTTCTCTAGTTTTCATTGTAAAGGTCTTTCACCTACTTGGTTAAATTTATTCCTAGGTTTGTTTGTTTATTGGCTGAGGCTATTGTGAATAGAATTGTTTCTCTGATTTCTTTCTCAGAAGATTCATTATTGGTATATAGGAAAGCTATTGATTTTTGTATGTTGATTTTTAGAATCTGCTACTTAGCCAAATTGGTTTATTAGCTCTAGAAGTTTTTTGGTGCAGTTTTTTTTGAAACTTCTAGGTAAAAGATCTTATAGGCACTGATAATTGACTTCTTCCTTTCCTATTTTTATTCCTTTTATTTACTTCTCTTTCCTAATTGCTATGGCTAGAATTTCTTGCACTATATTAAATAAGAGTGATGAGAGTGGGCATCTGTTATGGTTTGGAAGTGAAGTGTCCCCCAAAAGCTCACATGTGAGACAAGGCAAGAAAGTTTGGAAAAGAAATTTTTAGTTGTGAAAGTCTACACTCAATTAGTGAATTAATGGGATTAACTGATTGGTAACTGTAGAAGGTGGGGGATTGGAGGTTTGGCTTTGGGGTACACATTTATATCTGGAATTGATTTGTTCTTTTTTAAGGGCTTTGAAATGCATCATTAGGTTGTTGGAATCTTTCTGATATTGTTATGTAGGCATCTCTCTGCTGTCTGATCATTATGTGAGCTGCTTCCCTCTGCCACATTCTTCTGCCATGATGTTCAGCCTCACCTCAAACCCTGAGGAATGGAGCTGGCTTTCTATGGACTAAGGCACAAGCCCTCAAATAAACTTTTCCTCCTCTACAATTGTTCTGGCTGGGTCTTTTAGTCACAGCAGTGAGAAAGCTGACTAAACCATCTTTGTCTTGTCCCAAGTTTTAAAGGAAATGCTTTTAGTTTTCCCCATTTACTATGAGACTGACTTTGGGCTTTTCATATATAGCCTTTATAATGTTGAGGCACGTTCCTTCTATCCCTAGATTCTTCAATGTTTTCGAAGGCTTTCTCTGCATCTGATGAGATGACTGTACAATTTTTGTCCTTAATTCTATTTGGATAATAAAATTATGTATTACATGTGATAAATTATATTTATTATTTGTGTATGTTAAACCATCCTTGCATTTCTGGAATATAACCAACTTGGTAGTGGAGTACAATCTTCCTAATATGCTGTTAAATGTCATTTTCTAACATTTTATTAAGTATTTTTGTATCTATGCTCATCAGAAATATTAGTCTGTAGTTTTCTTTCATGTGTCCTTATCTGGTTTGGGTATGAGTGTGATATTGGCTTCATATATTGAATTTGGAAGTGTCCCATCCCTTTCTATTTCATATAATAGTTTTAGGAGTATTGGCATTGGCCCTTCTTTATTGCTCTGCTAGCATTCAACTGAGAATCCATCTGGTTCTGGAATTTTTGTTGTTATTGTTGGAAGGTATTTTTTTAATTGCTTCTATCTCATTACAAGTTACTCGTGTGTTTAAGATTTCTATTTCCTCTTGATTCAATTTTGGCAGATTCTATTTGTCTAGAAATGTATCTGTTTCTTCTAGATTTTCCAAGTTATTGGAGTATAAGTTTTCAAAATAGTCCCTAATGATCTGCTGGATTTCTGAGATGTCTGTAATGATTTCAACTGTTTCCCCTCTAATCTTATTAATTTGGTTTTTCTCCCTTTCTTTTTTTTAAATATTTTTTTAGTTGTTGATAGACCTTTATGTTATTCATTTATATGTGGTGCTGAGAATCGAACCCAGCACCTCACACATGCCAGGCAACTGCACTACCACTGAGCCACAGCCACAGCCCTCTGTCTTGCTTTTGGTTAGTTTGGATAAGGGTTTATCATTCTCATTTATATATTCAAAGAAACACCTCTTAATTTTATTGATCCTTTGTATTGTGTTTTATTCTCAAGTTCATTGATTTCAGCTCTGGCCTTAATTATGCCTTCTTTCTGCTGGTTTTGGAATTGATTTGTTCTTTTTCAAGGGCTTTGAAATGCATTATTAGGTTGTTGGAATCTTTCTGATTTTGTTATGTAGGCATCCATAACTATAAACTTTCCTCTTGGAACTGCCTCCATTGCATCCCAGGGGCTCTGGTATGTTGTATCACTATTCTCATTTGAGTTTCTTTTTTTTTTTTAAAGAGAGAGACAGAGAAGAGCAAGAGAGTGTTTTTTAATATTTATTTTTTTAGTTTTCGGTGGACACAACATCTTTATTTCATTTTTATGTGGTGCTGAGGATAGAACCCAGTGCCCCGTGCATGCCAGGTGAGCGCGTTACCACTTGAGCCACATCCCCATCCCGAGTCTCAATTTCTTTATTTATTTATCCCTTGATTTCTTCTATCTCCATTCATCATAATCTTCATGTGTTTATATAGTTTTGTAGGATTTTGTCATGTTGATTTCTAATTTCATTCCTTTATTATCTGATAAGATGCAAGGAATTATATCAGTTTTTATATATACGTGATCTCTAAGAGTTGGTTTGTGGCCTAAAATATGGTTATTTTGGAGAATGTTCCATGAGTCACTGAGAAGTGTATTGAACTATTGCTAGGTGAAATAGTCTATAGATTGTGACGTTCTCTCTCAAAAGCTTAAGTACCTCCACATTGGTTTATCTTGGTGCCCATATGGCCTCTTTCTTGGCTTTTCTGTGCTCATTTCCTGCAACTTTCCTCATAGACATTTCTCAGCACTGGCATTTCTTAATCCTGGTGGGTGGGGGGTCTCCACTGCAGCTTCAGCTTCCTCCTCACATCTCCAAGTATCATCCTTTCAGAGGCAGCCCACAGGGACTCTGAACCTGCTGCACTTTGCCTGGCCTCCCAGGCCTTCCTTTGAAATCTTAGTGGAAGCCTCCATGACCCCTTAACTCCAGCATCCTACATTCCTACAGAACCAGCACTCCATAGTTGCTGCCAAGCTCTGCCACTATCTTGAGCAGCAGCCAAGTCTCTAAGCTTCTGGATGACAGAGCATAGTAAAACAACTTCCTAGGACCCCCTGGGCAAGCAGGGTCTCTACTCAAAACAATTTTTTCTTTTACACTGTTGACCCCCACTGGTCTCTACTCAAAACAATTTTTTCTTTTACACTGTTGAGGCTAAGATGGGTATGTCTTAACAATTCTTGAGATGCCCTCAAGTCATCTTTCCTATTGTTTTGGGTAAAGTAGTTAGCTCCTTTAGTGGTTATAAGTTTTTTAACAACCACACCTTCCATAGCACCAGTTTTACTCACAATTTTCTGGTCAAACATCAATTAAATCTTTCTGCTTTGCTTTTCTGCTCCTGATGATCACAATAAACTTGGCTAAAAACTGCCTGCAATATACATGACACTGCCTGAACACTTTACTGCCTAGAAATTTCTTCTGCCAGATTAAGAAGTTCATCACCTTCAGACTCATAGGCTCCGCAAAAGACTAGGCATGGAACCACCATATGACCCAGCTAGACCACTTCTCAGTATTTACCCTGAACAATGAAAGTCATTCAGTTATAATGATACATGCATACCCATGTTTATAGCAGCACAATTCATAATCGCCAAACTATGGAACCACCCTTGATGTCCATATACATATACATATATATGCCCATGAACCAATTAGTGCAGCAAGAACACATACACACAAACACAATGGAAAATAGATTCCTAATGAAAAATGAAGAATTGTCTCCATGGAGAGGTCAAAAGAGTTGACAAGAATACATGGTGACTGCCTATGCCCAATTGTCCTTCTTTCCATTTCTTCTTGGGCTAATCTACTGAGAGACAGAGAAAGAGAGCATAAGGACTGGGAGTTATTGACCCCTTCCTCTTTCAATGTGCCAAATAGTGGCCTAAGACTGAAGCTGGTTGAAATACCTCTCAGCTTCCTTTCTCACCTATATAAAGTAGGATAAAATGGTGGTGGCAGGGGGGAGGTACTGTAGTGGAGCTTTGTCTACACAGACCACCAGATCAATGTACTCCTGGGGTGGAGGGGAGTTTTAGCAGGTGGGGCTTAGGAATAATCAGGCCTCAGGGGCTTTGTTTGGTGGGGAGATTAGATCAGAATTTGTGGTGATACAAGATACTGTATGAAGTGAAGCCAGTTCAGTGAGTGAACTCACAGTAAGTGCTCAATAAAGAATGCACTTTGAGTATAGTCAACACTGTTTTAAAGAGCGAGTCCTATATTGAAATCCAGTTCTCACCATAAGAAGGGTTATGAATCAGTCTTACTTATAATATGTATGTAGAATTTCTCTCTTTATCATATTTTGATGAGAATGTTTCTTAGTCTATTCAGTATATTAATTTGATTAATATCCATGACAGTTGACACAATCACTTTCTTAAAAACATAATTCAGGCCTGGGGTTGTGACTCAGTGGTAGAGTACTTTCCTGGCATGTGTAAGGCACAGGGTTCTATCCTCAGCACCACATAAAAAGAAATAAATAAAATAAAGGGATTGTGTCCCTCTCCAACTAAAAAATATTTTTTAAAAAATTTTAAAGGAAAGAAAAAACATAATATAGCATATTAACTACTCATTCATTTTTAGAAACTTGCTTATTTTACCATCACCTGGAAGATCGTAACCTTATTATTATTTTTTTAACTTAGGTAATGTCAGGATCTTTTACCCCTCGTGTTTAAAAATCAGTATCAAAAGATCATCTGAAAATGGTGACAGATTTTTCAATCTTACACTTTTATTTTAAAATTAGGCCTCAGAAGTCTCTAGAAACAGAGGAGCCTCCTTACTGGCCAGGCCAGGACACAGCCTAGTAGCTGCTATTCGAAGCCAACACCAACATGAAGCATTGCCACTGGGTATGTATAATGCTTCTTTCAACCCCTGGCTACCCAATACTTAGCCTTTTTTGTTGTTGTTGTTGCTATTGCTGTTGTTGTTATCGTGAATCCTTCAATATCCAAGATTTTGTATTTTCTTTCTGCTCTTTTATGACACTCCCCCACCTTCACTCCCATTATTCCCTCTGCCCCTTTTCACTTTAGCCTTCTTTCTTCCCCTGCCTCTCTCTTCTCTACTCTCTTCCACACCCTCGCACCCCTTTTTTCTTTATTCCATTCAATTGTTTATCAACTCTGTCCAGAAAAACATAGTTTAATTGAGGTGGTGGATTTTACTGTTGCTAGATGCAGCCTTTAATTTATAGCTCTCTTTCTGCGTATAAATGGGGAGAGTTTGCAGTCTTCATTAGCAACCTCACTACCTCTTTCCAAAACGTGTGCCCCTTGTATCAAAGGAAATGAGATGAGAAAGTCTAGATACTGAGTATTTCCATCTTTGTTACTGGGAAATCAACACATGGCCATGGGCTTAAGGATCTCTTTGAATGCTTAAAGAGTCTTTTGCCATGATATCTGTGGCAAAAGGACGAAGAAAAGATAGAAGGAAGAGAGAACTCCTCTCATGGGAGAGCTGTTTTATTCTCCCTCACCTGTTCAAGCAGAGATGAGTTAACACCCAGCAAAGAGCCTGACCTATTATGGATGCTTAACTTAGATCTGGTTCACTTTGAGTTTGATCTTTAATAAATAATAATAATGCTATTATGTCATACTTTTAAAATGCAAGAGCCTACTCTTTTTTATGAGTACTTCAAATTCCTACACTAATCCTGGTATCCAGCAGGCATTTTCCTGTTATCGGAGAAATCATGCCTGGGCTGCAGACTCAACCACAACTGTGCTCTTTTGTCTGTTTCAGCATATAATGACAAGATCGTGGCATTTCTTCGCCAGCCAAACATTTTTGAAATGCTACAAGAGCGTCAGCCAAGCTTGGCAAGAAATCACACACTCAGGTAGGGCTCATCCCTCACCCCTAGAGCTCTAGGTCTTTCTAGATTTTCTTTTTCTTTTTCAGATGGGAAAACACTTCCATGGAGAGAGAGAGGAGAAGAAACTTCTATTGCATTTTATTCTTGCATTTAAATTGTAACCTGAATCCTCAAAATGAAAGACCCAGTGTTCTGGAAAGTAGCAGTAGCAGACATAGTCATATTGTCAAGTTACCTATTTAGATGATGCTGAAGTGATTTCCACTGACTTAGAGATAAACACAGAAAGGAAACCAAATAGTTGTCATTGAAGACTACTCATATGAGGCACCATATAAATTATTTTTTATTTTAAAATTTGTTAGTAGTAAACAGAACTTTGAGTCACCATATACAAAAACCAACCAACAAACATAGTTGTCCTAACAACTTCAATCCTAGCATCCATTAGAGACATTTCTGAGCAGGTGTCTCTGAAATCAAATTACTGCATTGGGAAAGGACAGCCACCTGGACTAAAAAAAGAGGAAATATTCCCTGAACATAATCTTGCTTTCTCACCCAGAAACTCAAAATCTCTCTTCTTCAGTTCACTATTTAACATTTCAAAAACCTAACATGCATGGGGGTTAAGGGTGTGGCCCTTTGGGGTTTGAAATCTTACTCCAGCTCAGGGTCCCTAATAGAGGGACCTATTATTCAATCCTCTGTCCCCTGTCTCATCACTGGGACGAGGTCACAATGTGAGACTTGTTGGAAAGCTTCAGTGAGGATGCCCGTAAAGAATTAGAGAAGGGAAGTGGAGTAGAAACTCAGTTCATGACTGTCTCTAATTCTTCCTTTCCCATTTGGTGGCCTCTTGAATCTGGCTGGTACCTATAATGCTATAATACTCTACTTTGAGTTCCTCAGTGAATCACTAACACCTTGGAATAACCATTTGAATCCTTGCCAACTCCTCCAGATGGCTCTCTCACTACTCTTTCCACTCACTGCCCCCTCATTAACACCTCTTTTCCCTGCAGTTTTGCTCTATAAATTAGAACTCC